ACCTGTGAACATTGCTGCATTGCAGAGCAAGCCTTCAACGCATGAGTCTCGGAAGGATGTTCCAGATCCAAACCACAACAGATTTATATCAATATATAAATCTGATATATATATATATATATATATATATATATATATATATATATATATATATAATGATAATCTAGTTATTTTCCAAGTTCCAATTGTGTATTAATGATATATAGGAAAGCAATTGACTTTTGTATCTTAACTTTGTATCCCATGAGTTTGCTATAATTGCTTATTTGTTTAATAAGGGTTTGATAGGATTTTTTTGACATAGAGAATATTATCATCTGCAAACAGTTTTATTTATTTTTTCTTTTTATTGCCTTATCCTATTGCACTGGGTAGGATTTTCAATACAATGTTGAATATATATGTGTACTTTTAATATTTCTTATTCTTTTTTGAGTTCTATTGTCCTCTTTAATAAAATATTTTCTTGAGTAATTTTGAGTTAYTGTCTTTTGTTCTTTCATATTTTCTATCATTTAACATTTTTGAAAATTTTCTAGGAATATTGGGTTATAGTTTTCATCTTTTTTTTTTCTGCTTCATCGTTCCCTCCACCTTTATTTAACTATAGCAACTTTGAATAGAATTCAATCAGAATCCTTTTCTGTGACTTATTTTTAACTACATCTTATTTTGTAATTTTAAGAAGGAAAGGTGTATAGAAGAGTTTTATAGCTTTATCATTCTACAGATTCTTTCAAAATATTATTTTAGTTGTAAATGGACACAATATCTTTATTTATTTATTTTTATGTGGTGCTAAGGATCGAACCCAGTGCCTCACCAATGCAAGGCAAACACTCTACCACTGGGCCACAGCGGCAGCCCCTACAGATTCTTTTTCTGGTATTTTATGACATATGTTAACCTCAATTTTTGAACCCTTTCTCCTGTCTGACTTTTGGGTGGGCCCACATTATTCCTTTGCCCTCTGTTGTCCTCATCCTATTCAGTTAGGTTTTTACTTCTAGCAGTTTCTCCTTGATGTTGGACTTTGTCCAAGAATGTAGTTCCTATTTGCTGGAGTTTCTAGACTTCACATTATTGTGGTAACTTTAGAACTTTCTGTTCATTCCTTTACAATTGACCTAAACTTTTTGTTGACCAGACTCCCTGCCCATTTTGCAGCTGATCCCATGTTGGTCTCCTTTGCTTTTTAGCAAATATTTGGCATTTTGGGAGCTTCCCATTCTCAAAGCTTTCAGGTTCTTTGTTGTGTTCCCCTATTTCCTTCTACACAGAAGGCGATATTTCGAAATTTATTAAGAATGCTTTTTTAACCTAGTTATGACTATTGCCTAATAATGTTTTTGTTATTTATTTAGTTAGTTTTAGCTATTCTAGATGCTTTACTTGCTTTTATGAGGATATTCAGGAAGTTCTCATATTACACTGTCTCTCTAGTCATCTTCCTACTCTTCAATATTTATGTACTATTTGAGAAGATGAGGTACTTTAAAATACATTTCAAACTTGATTTTTGAAATCAATCAAAATGAAGATAGAAGGAAGTTTACGTAAGAAGCTGATAGTTTCTTATAGATGCCTTTTAAGTCATGTTTAAAATTGGTTCCTTTTTGGTTTTCTTCATGTGAAATTAAGTACTTGCAAGTGTCATTCTATTCYTCCACCTCCCCATTCTCAACCAGTTGAAGAGTACTCTCAGACTTAAAAATCAGAAGTAGGTTTACRATAATAGAATTTGGAATGATTGCTCAATGTGGCCAAACATAATGGAGGAGCTCATAATTGCATTTACTACCATATTATCRTGTGCTAAAATTCTGATTTTAGCTCCTTCTTATTCTACAATTTGCAGTCCGATTTAATACATTGGCTGTCCATYGTTTAAATGGGATCCACAGATATGATTTCTTTAGACTATTCTGTATTTATTTATTGATTTGTAGTTAACTCGGCAGATGATTTTTTTCTAGTTTTACATAAATTTTATTGTATATATTTAAAGTATACAACATGATGTTATGGAATACATATAGACAGTTTAAAACATTCCCAGTTAGGCAAATTAACATACCCATCATCTCCCATAGTTACCCTTTTTATTGTTGTGTCTGTGACAAAATCAGCCTAAATCCACTTATTCAGTATAATTCCCATATGCAGAGTAATTTTATGACCCAGTATTCATTGTAAATCAGCTCTCTAGACCTATTCACCTTATATCTGTTACTTTGTKTTCTGACCTATTGTCTTCCCATTTTCTCCTCCCCCAACCTCCCAATCACTCCTGTTAACCACTGCTTTAATCCATGTATTTGAATTTTAAAAAAACTTATAAGAGAAATAGTACAATATTTTTGCAGCTGGCTTATTAGGATCATGTCCTCCAGTCTCATCCATCTTGCTGCAAATGACAAGATCTCATAATTTTTTAGGGCTGAATAAATACTCCATTGTATATCTTTAGCAGTTTCTTTATCCATTCATCAATTGACACTTAAGTTGTTTCCATATCTTGGCTATTGTGCATAATGCTGCAATAAACATGGAAGTATAGATACCTGCATGAGGCAGTGATTTCATTTCCTCTGGATATCCATACAGAAAAGGGATTTCTGGATTGTGTGGAAGTTCTACTTTTAATTTCTTTAGAAAACTCCTGATCATTTTCTATAATAGTTGATCAGTATTTTAAAAACATACAAAATAGTTGCCAAAGCTTACAACCAAGTTTCACGTACAAATGCARATATCTGACTGATCTTAAAAAACCTGAAGCCCAGTGTCATAATGCCTACATTACAAAATGGAACTTGTATCCTGATTAAAGAGGCAGTGCACTCTCAGGCTTGTGACAYCTTTCATTTCTTACCTTCCAGTCCTGATAGACTTGGTAAATCATGGACAACTTCTTATATTGGCTTAAACTATAAACATGTGCTGTTGATTTTTAAATGTTTCTATTTAGATGTCCTACAGACTCACCAGAATTCACATATTCAAAACCAGCCTATTTTTTCTAAAACCTAATTTTCTTCCAGTGTTCCCTTAATGACACAGTTAACGGAATTACATTTCTACAGCTGTCCAAATTAGAAAAATCCTTAGGGTTATTTTTCTTCTTTCTTCTTCCCTCTATGCACAGCTTTTAGTCATGTGTAAAATGGTGACCCACTTAAGTCTTTCTTTTACTGGTGTCTGTATATTAAATTCCTTTCCCTTCCTGATGTCTGGAAAACTCCTACTTACTTTACAAGATGGAGCAAAATCATTCAATCTTTGAAACTATGTTCTTTGTCTCAATAAACATTTAGTTGCTCTTTTCCCTCAACAGATATCTCTAATACATTGCATATTTTACGTTGTTTATTTACTTCTGGCTCTTCTACTAGACTAGGAATTACTTAAGGACATAATGATTTAGCTATTTACCACCAGAACTAAGAAAAAAGCATGGAACTAGACAAATACATCAAATAAACATGAATTTTACAAATCAATGAGAATTGTTTCATGTCCAACGATTCCACCTTAAACTTTTTATGATACAATCTTTGGTTAAATTCAATTTTGTTTTCTTTTTTGCTCATACTTTTTTGGTACTTACTTTGGATTATTCTAGGGCCTTTAAATTTGGACCATAAGACTACAAATTAAATGGTCAAGTAAAAATTAATTKACTCCATTATTAAAACATGAGGACTTTTTAATGACTTACAAAACTTTGTTTTAATTATCTAAGGATGCCAGGTATTACCTTTAAAAAAATGTGTAATTATTTATAAAACAGATCCCAGAGAGGCAACTGAACAGCTGTTGAAAGATCTGGCACATCACTGTGCCAGCCTGAATTTAATGACCTACATGTGAAGGGCTACATATCCAATTACTAATCCTCCCTCAGCTACTCTTTGCCCCGATATGGAGGCAGCTGAAAAAAGATGCCCTACTAACAGATCAGAAAATGAATCCAGATTTCATTGCCAATGTTCAGTTACAGAGATCTTTTAGATTTCAGATGAGGAAGAAACTGAGAGGGACTCACAATTGTATTACAGCTCACACAGTTTTTCAAATAAATTTGAGAATTTAAAGCAAGAGTGACTTCAGTTTTGTGACTAAATTCAGAGACACTGAAATTATTTTAGAGAACCTAAAATTCTGAATTTAACTTTCTATTCACTCAAGCCTTAAACACSTTCAAATGTCTTCAAACATCAAGGGAAAAATACTTCAGAGTTCCTTCTATATTAAGAAGGCCAATTTATATTCCAAGATTCAAACCTCATTTTTAATCTTCAAATTTTACAGTAATCACCTATTAGAAGTAGGGTCAAATAAAAAAAAAATAGAAAACGACAATCCACAGGATTGAGTTTTGCTTCTCCCTTAGTTGACTTGGTCTATATATAGCAAAAAGATTATATAAGGTCAAGTAGTACAAACAATGAAACATCACCTGATGTTTTGCAAAATAGCACAGGAAAAATAGGTCAAAGAATGAATGGAGAGTAAAGCGTCTGGCTTTTTTTTCCTTAAGCCATAAAAAAAGGCTTAGAAATTCCAAATTTAAATGCATTTTTATTATGAATTTGACTAATTTCTTGAACTCTTATTTTCCACTTGAGTCATGTAAAATCATGCCACCGTGTTAACCTTTTTCTGTATAAAACAGACATAACTTAGGCAAGAGATGCTTTCCTCTACTCTTCAACACAAAACTAAGAATCTTTCATCCGTACCGCATTTTTAATTTTTAAGAATGGGACTATCTTAARCWCTCTACGCCGCCGAACACAAACAARAATATGAATGAATAAATGCCCGTAGGTACACCTTTACTTCTTTAAGGGGAAAAACTGACGTCACCGTAACTACCTCCCACTCCCCAAATCCTAACTCCAAACCCSGCCCGAATAAACCCCTCCTCCCCCCGGCCAGCTGAGGCGGAAGTTAGCGCAGTTCAATGACGTATGACGTAATCGCCGTAGCCACCACCGGGTAACTCTCGCCTCTGCCTCTGGGAGTTGAAGTTTCCAAGGAGGACTCGCCCGCGGTACTGAGAGCACACAAGAGAGGCTTTCTGAACGAACTACTACGTTCCCCACATCAACTCAGTTTGGTAAATCTCCTGGCACTGCGGTTCGCGCTCGCTTCCCCTTAGGTAACGTTCGGATACAAAAGGGAAGCATGCCATGCCACCCTCGAGTGGCAACAAGGGCTTCCGGGGTATGACGGAACGGGCCTGTGCGAGTGGCCATAGCCATCCTGTTCCTGAAGGAAATTACGTTGGCTAGGGCGCGCCCCCGAGGCCTCCGCAGCTCTCTGATTCGCCAGCTRCATTTTAGTCCCGCCTCTCTGCTGCTAGCGCGGCGAACGGTGTAGATAGGGAGGGTGRACTGGGCTCTGCTGGCCTGCAGTGGGGCGCTTTCCTTTCAAGTTATTTAAGGATGGGCCCTCGGTTSCTAGGATGCAAAGAGTGTGGTCTTACAAAAGATGACGGGAGAGRGAATATAGACTCCGAAGGGCCGAAAAACGAGTTGTGGCAGTGCCACCTGTGGCTAGAGACCAGGGGCGAGATGCTTAGTACCTCTTTACCCGTCCCTTCCCTCTRGAGCTGACGTTGCTGAGCCCTCTGAGATGCAGGGAGCTCGAGGGGAAGTTGTTGATGCTGCTAAGCCCCATGGTGGTGAGCTGGGGACTATTAAGTTGGCTTGATTTCACTGAAGCACGTTAAGAGTTTAAAATTTGGGAATTTCTCCAGAGAAATGTGGAGAGGATAGCGGCAGGTTACCTTCTYACCTATTAAAAACATTTCTTCTGAGGGAGATCTTTGGCCCTAGGGACTTGACATAGAAACAAAAGGCTTTTGCTACCACCGATTTGATYAACATGTTTAAAGAAAGGTCTTTTACTGTCACGGTCAGGTCCTTAATTCCGTTGTGCAATTATTCCAATATTAGATCTTTCTTGAAGGGAGCTGTATTGTAAATTACGAAGACTTTTTAGTTGTTTGATAACACGGAAATTTTTAAGATTTTCCTTTTGGCTTTAATTGATTTATGAGGTGTATTCTCCCTGCTTTAACGGGGTGAGGAAATGTAAATATTGAGATGCCTTTTTACCTATTCCACCAAGTACCTTAGTCRCTTTTATCTAGTTCTTTCTCTTTTAAGCCCACCCGATAACCTGGATCTGTGAATTACCCACATTATTTTACGCTAAAACAAATTTCACACAAATATTTCTATAATTAAAATACCGTTCTTAAATATTTGTTGGACTTGGTTTAACGACTGAAAATGTACTGTGAATRTAACTGCATGTCACAGARGAACACAAMATTCTGCCATAGAAAATTTACAAATTATGACCCAAACTAAAACAATTAGGAAACTAGTAATTGTGCTATTTTTTCACAACAGGTAATCTGAACAAGCTAGTATGTAATGAAGTGATGGTCAAAGTTGGTTTATCTTTGTAAAGTCTACACAATAATTTTTATCAAGCTAGTATTTTTTCTTTTTTTGCATTCCACTTATGTCTCAGTGTATCTATGTTTGAGGTTCAGAAAATTCACCTACTRTAGTGCATTTTCTTAACGGAGAATAACTAAAGAAAGTGAATGATTATGATGACTAACTACTTCATGACCTTTTCTTGTTTTTGATAGGCTGTTTAAAAACATGACTATGCTGTGATAGGTCATGTTGAATTTAACRAGACTTATTAAATAGGAAAGGCAAAAGCTCCCTCTGGTGTACATGGTTGTAAAACACTGCGTTAGGTTGCTTTTAACATTCCCACATTATAGAGCTCATCAACCCTTGAGTTTTTGAACAAAGTAGAGAATTAGCCAATAAATGGAAAGTACTATAGAAATGTGCTCTTTTGGAATATTATTATTTTACGAAGAGAGCAATTTATTTCCTGTTATTTTAATTGTGCTTTTAAGTTTGCATGTTTAGTTTAACAGACCATGTTTTTCCACTCTTGCTTTGGGTAATATGCACTGCTGAATTTTATGTAATTCAGTGCATATGAAAAGAAGGTAAAATAAAAGTTGTCTTGGGAAATCACCCTCTATCTATCTTTATGTATATTTAAAGTTTTCTTCTTTCTAATCTTTTTAGGTTTACTGAGTTTCTCCTGCCACCAGTTTCTAAATTGAATACTAACATTATTTAACTATTAAAAAAAATAGTGGCATGGAAATGAAACTAGAGATTTTTTTCATCATATATGACACAGATCTCAAGAGTCTTCTATTATCAGAATTGACACAGCACAGTTCTTTTATGTTCTTTGGAACCCCTCATTTGTAAATAAGGTTTTGCATTACTGGGAGGTTACAGTAGASTTAGGTTGGGTTTGAATCCAAACTCTAGCCCTTCATTTGTCTAATTAATTATTCAACCAAGTATTGTGAGTATATATTTTGTGCTAGATTTGCTTGCAGTACCTTGTTTCTTAGGAATTATAGTAGCTTCGTAATTCTGGGCAAGTTATTGAGCCTCACTGTGCATTCKTTTTAAAGTAAGGATAAATAATACAATCAACCTCATAGAGTTGTTTTAAGGAATGAATTAGATAACAATACCTTACTATTACTATTTTCATTGCTTTTTAAAAATCTTTCATCATACTATATTCACTCATTTATTTACTCCACCATTATATAATAAGCATCAACTAAGTACCAGCCACTATGTTACTGACATATTACAATGTTGCACATTTTTTTTTTTTTTTTTGGTACCAGGGATTGAACCCAGGGGTGCTCAATCACTGATCACTGAGCCACATCACCAGTGCTTTTTAATATTTCATTTAGAGACAGGGTCTTGCTCAGTTGTTTAGGGCCTCACTAAGTTTCTGAGGCTGGCTTTGAACTTAAACTTCTCCTGACTCAGCCTCCTGAGCTACTAAGATTATAGGCATATRCCTCCATACCTATCCAGTGTTGCACTTTTTAAAGAAAGCAAGAACCACATAATAAAACTACTGCCTAAATTATGCTCTGCAAATATTTTATCCTTTAATTATCTAAATTGTGGGATTTTTTTCTTTTAGTTAGTAGCTTCTCCATATAGACTTATTAGCAAGCTTTGTAAGAAGGAAGAATCATTTCCTTAATGATACATTTACCTTAATTCAATAGAAATTTAGTAGTATCATGCTCATTCATTGGTATGGATAAATAATAATTACGGTTTTAAGCTTCAGTGTTACTAATCTATCAAATAGAAAAGAAATATCAGTATTCTAGCCTTTCCTTAATCTGAAGGCAAGTTCAATTTTACTTAATAGGTATAGTTAATAGSTAAAGATGTATTTGGCATCATCCTAAAGCATTCCACAAAGCCATACTGATTACAGAGTCAACTTTCATGTTTTGTTTTTTAGTCAAGACTAAAGTGGAGGATTTACATATTTACAATGAAATATAGTGAAGGGGGCAATGTTGTCTGTACTGTCCAAAATTTATAAATCTTATAACAACTTCTGTCTAAAACTTAGTGTGAGTATACAACCAGATAAAGAAATACCATTCTATTTCCCTCATTCTGCAGCATTGAAGATTACAGGATGATGTTTTTCCATCTCTTTTTAAAAATAATATTTTTTCCTTTATAAAAATGTATTTTCATTATAGAAAACCATGAGTAAGAATTAAACGTGTATGTGCATGCTTTTAAAAATGACTGGATGTGATGGATATATTGGTTTTTGTTTTGTTTTCTTATTTAAAATATTATAACCATTTTCCCTTATCAATAAGTAATTTTGGAAATGTGATTRTTACTGCTTAGTAATCCTAGTCTGTGTTATAGATGAGTGATAATTTGTTTATTCTCCTTTTGCAGACATTCAAGTATTTTCTAACTTTTCATTATTAAAATAACACTGCAGTGTGTACGCTCTGGTGAATCTTTGCATGTACACTTCTGATTCATTTACAGGAACTTATCCTAAGAAAATTAATTACTTGATTGAAGGGTCTCAATTTGTTAAAGATCTTGTGTTACCTTCTAGAAAAATCGTGTGATAACTACCAATATTATATTAAAATACCCCATTTCTTTAGACCTTTACCATTTTCTTTAGACCTTTATCATTCATTTCCAATGAATGATATTTAATTGGTATTAAATGACAGTAAAATGATTTTTGCAAATAAATGACATTTAATTATCTAAATTTACATTTGTATTTTTACTGATATAGTTTAACAATTATCACCAATAATTTTAATCACATCTATTAGTTATTACTTCATGTGTTTGTAAATTATCTTTTCATGTAAAAATTGCTTTTCAATTTTTCAGAAACACCAACATAATGTCATCTGAAACGTCACCAGCATTTATTGAGTCTTCTAATGTTGAAAGGAAGCAAGACTTAACTGAAGATCAGGAAAAAGAGAAACCAAGAATAGATGAAGGGATTGAACCAGTATCTAAACGACAAATGAAGAAGCTAATAAAACAGAAACAATGGGAAGAACAACGAGAACTTCGAAAGTACGTGTTTCAAAATATGTATGCTCTACCTTATTCAGAAATATGGAATATTAGACCTTAATATATTAAAAGTAATTGTGTTAATCAAAATTGAGGTTCTGCATATTTTTTGTTAAAGACTTGTCAATTGACTTAAAAATTGTATGTGTCCTGAATTAAATTATATTTTTTGGCACTATTGATGAACTTGCACTCTACACTTTTCTCATCCAGAATCTTTTATGAGTAGCAGTATAGTTTCTGAAACAACTATTATAGATAAGGAATATAGTTAGTATCCGTGTCCTAGATATGGAATAAAAATAATCCAATTCCAAGTGATCAAATTTTGTCCCAATATTTATGTTGCTAGAATAAGTTTTTTATGTAAGCATTTAGGCTACAGGTATTGCAKAATACCAACATATGTAAGATAAAATAAACTATAGTTGATATGGAGAAAAATTGAGTTTTTTTTTAAAAGGAACCATTTTCTTTTTTTCTGTACTTTTTGATTGTTACTTGAAAATCATGTAGGTAAAACATAGTAAACCATGTAGTAAAATCCATCATAACTCATATTTATTATTTTAAAAATCTTCTTAAGGATATTGTGTTGCTAATAATAAATGAAACTGTTGAGAAGTAAGTATAGTTAGGATTAGATTAAAAGCTTTAAATTGTGCAATCATTTCCTTCCTATATAAASCTATTACATGGACTACATAAAGTTGCTCATACTTGACCAYTTTTGACCTGTGAAAGTGGTAAATTTCATATGATTTAACTTTAAAAAAATTGTCTTTTAGAACAGTCTTGTGAATATTTAAATATATAAATAACAAAGTTGTTTCAATTACTAATTTTAGACAAAAGCGGAAAGAAAAACGCAAGAGAAAGAAATTAGAGCGACAGTGTCAACTGGAATCAAACTCAGATGGAAATGACAGAAAACGTGTTCGAAGACATGTTGTTCACAGTACTCTCCGCCTTATCATTGACTGTAGTTTTGATGATTTGATGGTGTTAAAGGTATCATGAATCATTGTCAGAAAAATCCTGTASACGACCTAGGCTGAATCTCCTTATTTAAATGCATAATATTTCTGATATAAATGTATATGTAAAGTACATCTTAAGTCAAATTTTCAAAATCTTTTCCTTTTCATTTAAGTTAATAAATTGCTTTGATATATGTGTTCCTATTTATGTGCATGTTTTTTGTGTATGTATAGATTGAGAGAGACACATGTTTCATAATTATGTAAGAGTCAGTATTTGTGTACATAATTATGTAAGAGTCAGTAAAGATTTGTGGGCTTTTACCAATGCCATTGGTAAAGCATGAAAATAGTAATTCCATGGCTCTTAAAAGAGTTTTTTATTGTTTATGAAGAAAAGTAGATGTTTTTCATGAACTAGCATTTTATATGGATACAAAATAAATATAACGTGTCACTTATAGATTATTTACTTATAATAATTTTGTTAGTATGTAAGAAAATTAGTGAAAATTGTCAAAATTGATTTGTATTTAAGGACAAAAAAATCCATTCTATTTATTCTATTTTTTTAGCACTATGGAATAGCTATAGATCATTTTGATAACTACTTTTAAAATTTTTTTTTCTAGGACATTAAGAAACTTCATAAGCAGATCCAACGATGCTATGCAGAAAACCGACGAGCACTGCATCCTGTGCAGGTATGTCTGAAGAATTTTTAAAAAGACCAGTTTTCTTTTCAGTCGTTCATGACAAAAACATAGATAATTCCAGTTGCCTTTGCAAGTCTTATGGGTAATCTTGTTTAATGCTTTTATGAAAAATATTTTCTTTTTGTAAAAAAATAAAATATTTTAAACATCTTTTCTTATGAATYATTCTCAGACACACTTTTTAGTCATTAGTCTTGTACATGTTGACCTGTTCATTGCTGTGTAATTGATTATCTTCATTATTGGACATGCCCTTATTTTTATACCATTTTCTCAGCTTTCAATTTCTTGAAATTCTGGGAGGCAAAAAGGGACTTGAGGGAGAGATTGCCCTTWCCCAGTGTGAGCTGTGGTACCCGTTTTAGATTTTGTCTACTTAAAGAACTTTCTTTTCCTTTTGAGATGCTCATAATTTTAAAAAGTATTTAAGCTGGAGTGAGGGAATGATTTATACAACTAGTTTGTTGATGACAAGAACAGAATCCTTTTGTTTGAATTCTAGATAACCTAAAAATTAACACTGACTCACTAATGTTAAGAAGCAGGAACTTTTAGTACATTTTTTATTGATATWTTATCCTTTTAACAAGTGAGTAGTTTATATTTTTGCATTTTTATTTTTCATAATTTTTATTACACTTCTGTGATAGTTTTTATATTCTCATTTTTKTCCATAATAGACACCTTATTACCCTTGATTCAGATTTACAATAGGTGTARGGTTTAGAACCAAAGAAAATCATGAAGATTTTGGATTGATTTAAAAAAATAAAAAATAAAAAAAACAACAATGGTGGCCAAAAAAGAAGGGGATGGTGAGAATGACATGGAAGAAGGAAGTTTGCAGACATGATTGTTACTGGAGAGGCAGGTTATAACTAAYTAAAAAAGAAGTGCGATAAAAATGTAAGTTGAATGCTGAAGTTGTTGGGTTAGAAGATACACCCACAAAACATGT